GCGTGGGCTTCCACACGGAAGGACAAGCCACGCCGCAGAAGAGGGGATGGATTCAACAGAGGCCTCTGATGTCCAAGCTTAACCCAGCGCTTCTCTCTGTCTCCTGGGCCTAGGCCCCTGAGGTGGGTGCAGTGAGGAGGCAGCCCTTGGCCCTCCCAGGGCGGGGTGATGGACAGGAACACAGGAACTGGGCGCACAGACACCCCAGTGCCTGAGAGCAGGGGCCTGTCGCCCAGGAAACATGCCAGGGCCCCTCCTCCACAGCCTGCCCACCCCCTGGCCCTGGGTCACACAGGCAATCCCCGTCCATCTGTCTAGACCTCCCTCTTCCCCTCCCTGGTGGTAGTGCACGCCTCCTCCTGGCTGTCCTCAGCTTTGGGCTCCTCCTGTCCCCACTCTGCCTCTGCCAGCCCCTCACCTCCTCTCCACTAAGCTCTGGCCTCCCTAGCCCACACACCTGGAGCGTCTGGCTACACCTCTGCACCGTCACACCCACCTCTGCCTGCTGCCCCACCCCGTCCAGGGGGCCCCCAGCTGCCCTCCCCCTTCCCTCTCCTTGCCAGCCCTCCCCACGCTCCTTCCAGGTCCTGCACAGTGGGCCACTCTAGCCTAGTGCCCACCTCCTGCCAGTGGCCATCCTCTACTCCAACTGTCCGCCCAGCCCCCGGGGCAGCAGACCCTGTCACACTGCACCTGGGACCGCACCAGAACCTTCCCGAGGGCCAGGCCTTTGCCCGCCTCTGCAGCCCCGGTGCCTCCCTGACCACTGCCCTGCCCTGACATTGCCCTTCCTCCCGGGACACTGCTAGAACCACTTTTGTGTCCCATGTCCCACACGGTGACATTCCAGGCTGACCGGAGGGCCGACCTCTGCCCCAGGGCAGGCCCAGGGGACCTTCCTGGGCTTGTGGGTTATGGCATCGAGGGCCTCACTTGCTCTCCAGGAGGGCCCTGGGGGACCTCAGGAGGGCCCACAGGAGGGCACCCCCCCCACGTACCCATGCCAGCCCCAGCCCAGGGTGGCGCAGTTACCTTTGGTCTGGCTGCTCTCCATCGCCCCGTCCTGCTGCTTGCCTGCAACGGAAGAGGGGTGGCAGACAGACTGGAGCGCGTGCACACGGCCCTGGCACACGTACTCGCTCATGCAGGGGCAGCACACAGCTGGGCCAGACGGTGCAGCCCGGCTGCATGGGAGGGGAGGGCCGGCCTGCTCTCCAGGCTCGCGGTCACCCCTCCCAGCATGTGCTCGCCACACATGCTCCTGCATCCTGTGTCACACAGGCAAGCCCCGTCCACCTGTCCAGACCTCCCTCTCCCCTCCCTGGTGGTAGCGCAGGCCTCCTTGCGCGCCTTGCGTGCTCGCTTCCTGAGCAAGACCCCAGCCCGCCAGCCAGCCCTTAAAGCCAGCTCTGGATGGGCTAGGTCCTGGGGGCCAGCTGCGAGAGGCTTCTGGAAGCACCGCTGTCCTGAGCAGGACCCTCCCCAAACCAGTGCGAGGAGCTTGCCTAGGTGGTCCTAGGCCACTTTGGGCCAGCCAGTGGGATGGTGGTGGGGGCGGCCTGATCCCACGTGGCTGACGGCATGACCTGAGTCCTGGACCCAGTGGCTTGAAAACACAGCGTGCACCCGTGCGTGCGTGTCTGAAATCCCAAGAGAATGGAGAAGGGCTTGTGGCATGGCCGTGCCCCTGTGGGTTGTTTGCTACTCTCCTCCTCTCTCTGTCTCTCTCCAATGAGCACACGTGCCCTCTGGCAAGTTAAAAATAAATAAGCAAAAATTAAGGGGTGTTTCTAAGGCTTTAGTCAGCCTGGGGCAAGGGTGGGCCCGGGAACCTGTCTGGGGCGGCAGCGGCAGGACAGTCCTCCTGGGGACCCGGGAGCTGGCCAGCCCTCTGAGAACAGCAGGGGGCAGAAGTCAGAGGAGCTGCTCTGGGCAGGAGGGGAGCCAGGGGCACAGGCAGGGTGCAGGCTGCTCCTGGGCAGTGGGACCAGGTTCTAGGGGTCCCCAAAGAGGACAGAGAGGCTCTCTCCTTGCTGGGGACAAGGTATGGCTTGGGCCCTCTCTGCCTCGGACCCCTGTGGAGATTTCGGGGATGGGAGATGGTCAGAAACACATGGATCAACACCAATAACAGCACAGCACGGTGCAGGAAGCTCCAGGGCCTTGGGGGCTGAAGGAAGGAGGCCTCTGGAGGAGGGGAGCTTTGGGGTGAGCACTGCAGAGAGAGAAGGCTGGGCCTGGCAAGAAGGAGCAGGAATATGGGGAGAGGGAAGGGAGGCGAGACCAAAAGGCAACAGGGGGTAGGGGGCAGTGGGAGGGGCCAGGGGAGGGGCCTGGCAGGGTGGTCCCCAGAGTGCCCTGTGTGCAAGGAGCTCCCTGCCAACTCCCAGGATCAGGAGACCACCAGGGCTGCCTACCTGCCTGTGTACCCCCAGAGCCTGGTGCAGCTAAGAGAAGAGGTGATGGAGGGCCTGGCCTGCCGGCAGCAAGGAGGTGCCCACGCAGGGGACACAGGTCCACACTGCCAGGGCAGAGCCCACTACCAGGAGCGGGGAGTACTGTGAGGAGGCCCAGGCTGCCCTGCCCTTGTGCCCTCCTTGGCCTGGCCTGCTGGAGGCTTCTGGTAGTAAGCAGGCATCTCCATGCACGTGTGCAGACCCTGTGTACTTGCAGGTGGGCCCTCTGCAAAATGTCGTGCCCCACCCGGCCCGGGCTGCAAGAGAGGCCTGAGGGCCCGGCGCCAAGGCAGGCAGGTGCTGAGCTGGTGAGGGCAGAAGGCACCACAAGGACTGGGGTCGGGGGTTGCTTTGTGAGTCCTGAGGACTGCTGGAGACACTGGCCATGCCTGGGGGTGGCAGGACTGTGTGCCTGCAAGGCCAGGGCTGCTCAGAGCTGGGCTCTTAGAAGGCATCTGCCTCCACCATCCCAGACCCCTCTGGTTCCGGATGTCCCTTTGACCCCATCCCTGCCCAGGCAGGGCACAACCTGTGGGAACAGCTGTCGAAGGGAAGCTGCCTTTACACAGAACTAGAGGGCCCCAACCTGCTGACCCTCAAGAGGCCAACCTCAGAAGTGGGGTTCCTCCCCAGGGCTGGCCCTCCAGGAGCCCGGACATGTCAGCCGGGGGACACCCAGTGGGCGGCGAAGAAGAGCAGCCTGCAGAGGGCACGGCGCCCCACACCTGCCCCAGCCTTGCCCTACCTTTCTTATCCTTCTTCTCCTCCTCCTCCCCGCCAGCTCCAAGCAACGTAAAGATGATGCCCGTCTGGGAGTTGACACCGACAGCTGTCACCACCATTCTTCCGGAACCTTCCATGACATGAGTGCCTGGCACAGCAATGGGGGCAGACTGAGACTGAGATTTGCACCACCTGGAGGGAGGCCTGTTGTGTGCCTGCAAGTTCCCCCCCCCAAAAAAAAACCAGCAGGGACTCGCTGGAGCTGGAGACTGTGCCAAGCCTCGGCCTAGGTTGGGGCCTCCTCCCTGGTGTGCAGGGGCTGAGGCCCCAGAGCAGGTGCTTGGTCAGAGGCACTGAGCAAGCTACTAGCATAACCCTCCTAGGCCTGGGGCTGTCGGTCCTGCCTCACCCTGCATCTCCGATCAGGCCAAGTCAGAATGCCTGGAAAGGGAGACGGGCCCTGCCGCGTCCTCTAGCACCAGACTTTGGGAGTGGCGTGCTGCTGTTCTGTGCTGTGCTGACGCCAGCAAGACCCCTCCTGCGGGGCTCCCTGCCCGCAGCCTGGTGGTAGGTGGGCTCAGGCTCCCCGGCTCACCCGACAGCAGCATGGGGTCTTTGTCAGCCGACTTGCGCACGTGGTCTGACTCGCCTGTCAGCGAACTCTCATCGATCTTGAGGTCGTTGGCCTGGATGAGCACACCGTCAGCAGGCAGCAGGTCTCCTAAAGGCCGGCCCGGAACCAGAGGCTGTGGGTCTGTGGCCCTCTCCCCACACCTCCTCCCGGCTCCCCCAGGGAGACCCTGTTAAATGCAATGAGCCACCTGGGTGAAGGACTTGGGAGCCCTCTTCCTTCAGCTTCCCCATTCCTAGGGGTCCAGCCACACTTAGCCGTGCTGTCCAGCTCCCAGGGAACCGGGCAACGTTTGCACCCTGCAGTAGTGCAGAAGCCCTGGGTGGACGCGGGGAGCGGCGAAATCTGGGCAGACAAAGCTTTCAAGTAGATAAAGTGGGGATGTACAGAGAGCAAGCCAAGCTCTAGTAAAGGCAGCGCCCACCGCGCACCACAGGGCAGTGCAGGGAGAAAGCTGAGTGCCAGGCAGAGCGAGCGGGAAGGCTTGTGGACAGCCATGAGACGCCAGCTGCTGGACAGCCGCAGGCCTCGCCTCAGCCTTCCCTGTAAGCACAGGCCCTATAAGAGAATGAGCGCATAGCGGCCAGGGGCCGTGGCGTTTTCCACGCAGACGCTGAGACCGACTGATCCCCGCTTTTTCCTGTCTATTATTTTCAAGTCCCTCTACCCGCTTCCCCTCGGGTTCCAGGTCTTCGTACTGCCAGGCTGCAGCAGGCAGAGGCTGTGGGGCCAGCCTGCTTCTTTTGCCTCTGAAACTCCACCTCCCCTGCAGGCCAAGGCACACGTGCTTGGGAGAGAGCCTGCCCTGGGAATCTCCTCTGGCCCACCCTCCCAGAACTGGGTGCCAGGTCTGCGGGCAGGGTGGCCGAAGGCTGGCCACTCACCATACTTGACCTGGGCAATGTCCCCCACCACCATCGCGGCCACAGGGACCTGCAGGAGCTGCCCATTCCGAATCACGGTGAACTTCTGCTCCTGCTCGATGCGGCTCTGCAGGCCTCGGAACTGCTTCTCCTTGCTCCAGTCGTTGAAGGCTGTGACCAGCACCACGCAGATGACAGACAGCAGGATGGCGGCCCCCTCGATCCAGCCGGCCTCGGCCTCACCCTCGTCTTCTGCCCCACCTGACACGTTCCCGCAGGCTGTGCCGGGCAGAGGGAGAAGCCGCGGCCAGCTCAGGTAAGCCTGGCCGCCGCGCTGGCCCATCCCGCGCCCCCTCGACCCTCCAGGCAGCTCCCACCTTCGCTCTCTTCTCCAGGAGGTGCATAGAATGAGAGGCCCAGGGAGACGATGGCGGCCACCTCCAGGATGATGAGAGTCACGTCCTGCAGGGCTTCCCACACCAGCTGCAGGAAGGTCTTGGGCTGCTTGGGAGGGATGAAGTTCTGCCCATAGATCTGCCTGCGCTTCTCCAGGTCATTGCTGTTGTCCGCCAGGCCTGCGCGGTGCCCCGGCAGGGCAGCAGAAGCAGAGGGAGAGGAGGGACAGGCTGGCCTTGGGGCCCGGTGCCCTGCATGGTCGGCCCCTGCATGGGCCAGCTCGACCTGTTCCTGCCAAGAGCCACCCGGGGTGGTCTTTCCTCTGGACCACGGGCACCGGGAAGGCAGGAGCTGTGCAGGCCCAGTGCCCAGAGCCGGCCTACAGCCTCTGGCAGTGCGTGAGGGGGAGCCAGGGCTGCTGCCCCTCCTGCCACCACTGGGAAGCCACACCCAGGAGTCATGGGGCCTGAACCTGGTCTGTGCCCCTCAGGCCCACTCAGCCCTGCACTCCCTCCAGACTGCCTGTGTGGAGATTTGAAGGACAGCCATAAATCCCAGCGGGACCTGCAGGGCCAGGCATGACCGGGTCACTCGGACACCAGCACGGAAGAGGGCAGCCAGCCACTCTGCTCCCGAGGCAAGAAGAGCAGCCAGGGTTGTTAGTGGGGATGAGCGGTGGGGACAACCTTGGCCTGGACACTACCAGAGGCCCCAGAAGCAGCAGGGCCCTCTCAGGCAGGACAGGTCTCCCCAGCTGCATAACATAGGCCTCATTCTTCAGGGCCCTTGCCAGGTCTGCGAGGGTGGAATGGGCCTCTGGGACATGGATGCCCATAAGCTGGATAACCACCAACCTTGGCCACACCACCCCACAGCCAGCTGCCCAGAGACTTGCAGGGTCGCACGGCCTAAACCTGTGGGGGTGGGAAGAGCCCGCAAAGGGTAGGGAGGTGGGGAGGCAGAGGAGCGAAGGCGTGCCTTCCAGAAGTTTCTCAGGGAAAAAGTGGAGAGAGGGAGCAGGAGAGCTGACAGGGGATACAAGTTCCCAGGTCCTGAGACCGAGAGGGAGATGGCACAGTCCCATGAGGAGCAAAGCAGGACGCGAGAGACCCGATTCCACTAGCCAAGGAAGCCGAGCTCAGCCCAGTGACCAGAGCCATCCCTTGGCCAGTTCTGTAACCTGTCATCTTTGGAGACAAGAGGTGGGGAGGCCAGGGTTGAGACAGTCAACAGGCCCCCAGGCAGGGGACAAAAGGCATGAAGTGTGGGGAAGCCAGTTCCGGTGGGTGAGGCCTGAGCCCTAAGCAGTTGAGGCACCTTGAGGCAGGGCCCAGGGGCTTGGGGATGTGGCCGAGGCTGCTAGAGCCCTGACAGGCCCCTCCACATGCTGGGCAAGTGCCTGCAACGGGGTCTGCTCAACGGATGGATTCAGGATCCGCTCTCCTGGAAGGCTGCCCTGGGCTGGACAGAGGCCCGGGTCTTTCTCAGGTACATGCCTCCTCAGCCCTGGACTCGAACTCAGCCACCTTCCCCAGAGACCGGCCTGCGGGATGCCGTCGCCCTGCCTCCTGCCCTGGCCCCCACGGTTTCAGCCCTCCCAGGTGCTCCCGGGCCCCCAGCACCGTCCTCTGTCTCTCCACTACTGCCTCTGGGCTCCGGGGGGCCTGGCTCCACACTGACATCTAGTGGCGGGTTGCAGCTCTC